CCCACCCCACCCCCCGCCTCTGCGATGAATCCAAAGCAGGTCGCATGACTGGGGCCCAGCGAGAGTTCGGAGGGGCACGGCTCCCCAACCCGCCCGGTCTCCCCAGAGTCGTCGCTAAGGCTTTGGGCCGCTTGCCAGGGAGACGCCGAGCTCGCCGGAGGTGGGGCGCCGGGGCCAGCGTCTCGAAAGGCCCAGGGCGGAGGCCGGCAACCTGGGCGAAGAACTGCCTGCCCTGCAGCATACCAGGCGAGTTCCCACGGCCGCGGAGGTCAGCGCGGCGCCTGTGCGGACAGCGCATGCGCTGCCCGCGGCGGGGCGGGGCGGGGCGGGGCGGGGCGGTCCAGATCAGTAGCTCCTCCCTTCCCCGCCCGCTCGGGGAGGAAACTGCGCGGGCCCTAATTAACGCCGCTCAAGGACACTGGGGATTAGCGCAGGCTTTACACGCAGACCGTGGAGTCGAGAGGCGCGTGCGATGATCCTTGAGTCTAGATTCCTAGAGCAGTGGTTCTGGGTGCTTGGGGACATTCAAGATTCGTGGGTCCTGTCCCCAGCCGCCTGGGTGAAACCCAGGAATCTGCATTCCCAAGTCTCCCTAGGTAATTCCGAGATAAGCGGCCCTCCTTGGCTGGACCCACCCTCTTGTTGCAGAGAAATGACCGGCCCAAGGGCTTACAGAATAAGGCGACGGAGCCGGAGAAGAACCCCGATCTCCCGACTTGCCCTCCAACACGTGCCCTACTGTTCTCTCCCCTCCTCATTTCCAGGGCATGGTTTAATCAATCCCAGGCAGGCTGGCAGGCAGTTCATTCCCATTGGTTGGGCTAATTGAAGACTGAAAGTCCCTTTCCCAGAACACCAAAGAACCCCATCCAGCAGCCCCACATCAAAGCTCCACTCTCAGCTCAGACCCTTGGCCAGTACTGCCTCAATCTGCGTGGGATGTGGGACACCCTGGAGAAAGCTATCCCCACACTCCAAGCAAAACAATGGCCTATTTGGGTGTACACACACCCCACACTCACAGTCTTCTCAATATGTGAGCAGGAAGGACCGTCTGCACACAGAATCACAACCCACCAAGAATGTAAAATGCTCCCATGTCTACATGTGTGGAGTTTGGAGGGGTCTGACCCACCCCTGTGTGCCGGAGTCTGGCTTGAGTTTAGGCACGTTCAGTAACAAGCGGTGACCTCAGTCCAGGCCAGCTGGATCATATGTGCAGACAGCCATTCTCAATGGCCCTGGGTGGGGAAACCGACACTCCCTTGCATCTCTGCATGAGCAGCAGCTGGGGACGCATCGGGGATGAGCAGAGTTGAGATCCCCACACACTCACAACCCCTGCTGTCTGCAAGATCCCTCCCCAGGACAAAGCCTTCAAGATAAAGCTTGCCCTTGTGGAGGGGAGCAGGCTTGGGGCTGCAGATGCTGGGGTTCTACTCGCTCTCAGAAGCCCCCTCTTCCCTAGCAAAGCAGCCAGGTTGAGAGAGCAGGACGTCTGTTCCCTGGGAGGGTCCTTGGGCCCGTTCTGGGGGATGAGGTGGGTGTCCTCAAGCCCAGCCCAACACTCTGTGGAGAACAGTGTCATTTTCTTCTGTTCCTCCCAAATTGCTGCCTCTCTTTATCTGTCCCGTCCCAGCCTGGCTTGTCTCAAAACCTCAAGGCTGCAACTCTTTCCGAGAAAGCCAGGAACAAAGCTGCCAGTTCCATTCCCCAAGGGAGGAGTTCCAACTCTCCCTCCTGGCTCCAGATGTAAAGGAACAGCTGTGGGGTGGCAGGAAGCCCAGTTGGCAGCTAAGCAGGATCTGGGAAGATGGAGAACGAAGGCGGGAGAGACAGGCAAACGGCAGGATTGTTATGATTCTAAAGACCTAGGAAAGAAACCGTTTCATCTCCTGGCCTGACAACTGGCTGATAGGCCCTGCCAAATCCCTTCGACGCTGCCCTCCACGACTGCCCACCCCAACCTGGCAGCCTGGGCTGCTGGCAAGACCTTCCATAAACTACGTTTTCTGGTTCCCAGTTAATCTGAGAAGGGAAACTTGGCTTTCTTTGTCTGACCCCACCCCTGTCCTTAAAACACATACCTCCCAAGCATGAGATTTGGGTAAGTGAGGAATGGTGTGGGAGAGAGGAAGGAAGGTGGAGAAGGCTCTGCCACTCCCATCTGGCATTCTCCAGCCCCTCCCTCCCCAGGGCAGTAAACCAGGATGCAGGGTGCCAGGCTGGGTGTCTGCAGACAGGGCTGCTGTGAGCACCACCTCACTCTCCCGCTATGCCAGGTTGGTAATGCATGACTGGGCACCCAACACTGGACTGAATAAGTAATTATTCCCTGAGTGACCATGCCATGCTCTGGTCTAACAAGCCTGCCCACTGCCACACCCTGCCCCATGCTTTCCCCAACCTGAAAGGACACTGGAAATCACAACTGCTTCCGTTTTAGGAAAAATAGTTTAATGGTAGGTTTGTAACCTCTTTTCTAGATGAGGTTCCATTCTCGGGGGAACCCCCACACCACTGCTCTTCCCATGCCTGCTGGGAGGTAGCAGCCCCTCTCTGGAGGGCACCCACCCATTCCCGATGCCCCTGCCCTCCTGGGAGGCAGGTGCTGGGTCTAGGACTTGATGGGGCCATCAGCTGAAGGTTTTTACAAAAAGTGGGCAGAATACTTTACTGGCCTCTTTCCTGGATGCATGGGACCAGCCCATGGCACCTTCCTACCCCTTAATTAAATAGCCCATTAAATAATCGCTTGGTGCTGGCAGAGAGGGGGTTCCACAGCAACAAGCCCCCTGCCCTGGTGGGGCTCCCGTGGCCCCAGAGCCCCCACCCTGACTGGATCTCGGCTCCGTAAGAACAGCCAGGGGCATGGCCTCATCTCAGACCTGGCCAGGCCCGAGACTCCCTCCCCAAGAGGGGGTGAGTCCAAGTGGGTCATACTGGCACCAGGCATCCCCACAGCCACAGATGGGGGTCACCCAGACAGCAGAGTAGGCAACCGACAGGCTACAGCTCTCGCCCAGGTCAGAAAGACGTGAGGTTCTTGATGGCTCCCATCTCCAGCATCCGCTTAATGGCCAGCGCCTCTTGGGAGACGTTATGGCCTGACCCCTGTGGAGACAGCCAAGGAAATCAACTGAGGGACTCCCAGGGACCTCTCTGTTTCCAGGAAAGTCTCCCTGCCCCTCCCCGTGGCCCCACACTTCTTGGGAGCTCGCCTCCCCATGCTGGCTCTTGGAAGGAAGACAAAATGTGTGTGGCTGAGCATGGAGGACGCTGGCCAGGGAGTCCAGATGCCTCGGTTCTAGTTCTGACTCCAGGAGTCACCGCTGGGTCTCGGCACTGCTCCCACTCACCCAGCATCCCTCTGACTGTCTGGTCCCTAGGCCCATCTACCCCCTGCCCCACCATGCTCACAAGCCAGGCACTTACCGCCATGGACTTGAGCGTGATCTGCTCATAGTAGTGAATGGTCTGCTTCTTGTTGTAGGCATCTGGGTAGCCGAAGCCAGCAATGTGCACCAAGTCACAGAGGTGGAGGGCCAGCGTGATGGCCAACAGGCCTGTGGTGGGCTTCTGAGGAACAGGGGCGGGAGGGTGTTAGAGGAAAGCCCTGCTCCTCCCACCATCATCTCTGCCAGCACTCTGCGGTGGAACTTTCTACAGTCATGGAAACGTTTTCCATCTGCGCTGTCCAACAAGACAAGCCACGAGCTAACGAGCACGCAAAGGGGGCCAGTGCAGCTGAGGAAATTAATTTTTTATTTTATTAAATTTTAATTCATTACATTGTAAATTTAAGTCACCACATGTGCTGGGTGCAGTGGTGAATGTGTTCCAGCCACGCAGGAGGCTGAGGTTGGAGGACTGCTTGAGCCCAGGAGTTCTGGGCTGTCATGCACTAGGAATGCACCTGTGAAGGGCTGCTGCACTCCAGCTTGGGCAACATAGTGAGACCCCATCTCTAAAAATCAAATATAAATAAGTAAATCAATAAATAGCCACATGTGGCTAGAGGCTGCCATTCTGGATGGTACAGCTCTATGCATCTGGGGCCTCTAGAGATAAGAACAACAATCAGAATGCCAATCATCATTACATCAGTTACTTTTTAAATGCTTACATGTGCCAGACACTATGTTTAGTATTTTACCTACCTACTATAAAACATTATCTCATCCAGTCTGGCAAAAACACCTGGAGGTAGATATTATTATTAACCCCATTTTACAGATGAGAAAACTGAGGCCTACAAAAGCATTAAGCAACTCCGTCAAAGGAAGGGAAGCGTTCTGTTCTCCTCCTTGGAGAACCTGACCTTGTTCAGAAGACCTGAGGGCTTGACATGCACTAGCTGTGTGACCCTTTATGGGGTGGTGCTCTCTTTATTTTTTTATAAAGATGGGTTTTTACCATGCTGCCCAGGCTGATCTCAAACTCCTAGGCTCAAGCAATCTGCCCACCTCAGCCTCCCAAAGTGCTGGGATTACAGGCATGAGCCACTGCACCTGGCCTCTCCTCTTTAAAGCAGGACAGCAGTACCTTTCCCATCTACCTTACTGGCTGCTCTGAGGACCTCGCTTGCTCCCTAATTCATCTGTAGTGATGGGCAGCCTGATAGTCTCACTTCTCCCACTTTGCCTTCCTCAGTTCCAGCAACCTGCTTTGCACACAACTTCAGCTGCCCACACCCATTTGGGAGCCATTCCTGGACCTCATCAGGCCTGTCAACACGCCAGCTTCCTCCGTCTCTGAGCTCTCCTGTCTGCTCATCTTCCATCCCTGCCTGGGCCTTCTTTTTCATCCTTGTTGCTTTCACCACCAGTGTGTTCCCTCATTCGGCTGGGCTGAGCCACACTTCCATGGCCTTCTAGCCATCTCTGCCTAGACACAGGCTCCTTACACTCACCAAATTCTTCCTCTTCCTCATACTCTCTGTATTAAATATGGTTGATTTTTGTTTTGTTTTGTTTTTTTGAGACAAAGTTTTGCTCTTGTTGCCCAGGCTGGAGTGCAACAGCACAATCTCGGCTCACTACATAACCTCTGCCTTCTGGGTTCAAGTGATTCCCCTGCCTCAGCCTCCTGAGCAGCTGGGATTACAGGCATGTACCACCATGCCCAGCTAATTTCATATTTTTTTAGTAGAGATGGGGTTTCTCCATGTTGGTCAGGCTGGTCTTGAACTCCCAACCTCAGGTGACCTGCTTGCCTCAGCCTCCCAAAATGCCGCGATTACAGCCGTGAGCTGCTGCGCCCGGCCTTGTATTAAATATGTTACCATCTCCCCTCAGCTGTCCAAACTGGAAACCTAGAATTGGTCAGAAATCTCTCAGTTCTACCTGTAAAATATATAAGGCAGAATTGTAAGAGAACCCCAATGACCCTGCCCATCATGTAATCTCATCCCTTGCGCGTGTGTGGGGAACCGGTGAATATGATGCGATTACGTTACGTTACTTTATATGGCACAGTTGAACAGAAGAGGAGAGGCCGTCCTGCTGGGCTTGACCTAATTGCCTGAACCTTTAAATCCGGGTGACAAGATCAGAAACAGAGGCGGTCAGAGATTTGAAGCACAAAAAGGATCTATCATGCCATCGCTGGCTTGAACACGGAGGCTATACAGCAAGAAATGTGGGCCACCTCCAGGAGCTCAGCATGGCCCCCGACCTCCAGCTCACAGCCAGCAAGGAAATGGGGCTTCAGGTCTATAGTCACAGTAACCAAATTATTTCAACAACAAGAATGTGCCAGGAAGCAAAAATTTCCCCCAAGCTTCCAGATGAGAACTGTCTGGCTGACAAACTGAGTTCAGTCTTGTGACACCCTGAACAGAGAACGATCCACACCGTGCTGTTCTGATCTACAGGACTATGAACCAGTATATGGGTATGGTTTTAGGCAGCTAAGCTTTTGGTATTAGTTAGGGAGCCATAGAAAACTACTACAGGCTAGGCGCGGTGGCTCACGCCTATAATCCCAGCACTTTGGAAGGCTGAGGAAGGCGGATCGCCCGAAGTCAGGAGTTTGAGACCAGCCTGGCCAACATGGTGAAGCCCCATCTCTACTAAAAATACAAAATTTAGCCAGGTGTAGTGGTGCATGCCTGTAATTCCAGCTGCTTGGGAGGCTGAGGCAGGAGAATCGCTTGAACCTGGGAGGCGGAGGTTGCAGTAAGCCAAGATCACCCCACTGCACTCCAGCCTGGGCGACAGAGTGAGACCTGGTCTCAAAAAAAGAAAAGAAAACAATACAATGTTGAGTCCCTCTCCTCCTTTTCCCTTCCGACCGCCGGGAGCTGGGTTCAGATCCTCGCCCTCTCTCACCACCCTCTCCAGCCTCCTTTCCATCTGTAACCCTATACGTGGTGCAAAATGCCTCCTTGTTGCCCTTCAACTCCACTTGCACTGGAACAGTTCAGTGTTGGAGGAGCTGCCTGCTCTGGCCAAATGGAATGCCTTTCCCCAGCACTCTGCCTGATCCTCCCAGGCCGGGCTCCAGCACCACCTCCTCCGGGGAGCCTCCCAGACATCTCTCAGCAGGCATCCGCCCCTCCTCTGAGATGGCATTGGGAACAACTCTCTATCGTGGAATGTTATCACCCCACAGCGTAACCTGCATTCTTACACTGCTAGACTGAGGTCCCTTAGGGGAAGGAGCACAACTTCCTCGCCAAGCATGGAGACTTGGGGCCTGGCATTGAGCAGTCACAAAATTACCCACTGTTCTTCAAACAGGAGATGTTCGGTAAACAATAAAATCACTTATTCAAATCTGGCAAATATTTAAAGAGCAGGCACTGTGTACCGGTCTCCAGAATAGGTATTTTACATTGTTATTATTTTTAAAAATCCTACAACAGCCTTAAAAGGTCATCATGGATATTATCCCATCATACAGGTAAGAAAACCAAGGCTCTGAGCAGTTGATCTGCCAAGACCCACACTACACAGTGCAGCCAAGCGCGCCCTACCTGTGTCTGCTGGTACCTGTCTCTCACCATCCCACACGGCCTCCCCGAGGGGCTCCAAGAAATGGATGGAAGTACTTGGGAAGCTACAAAGTGGGTTAAAGCCTACCAGCTGAAGACTACCAGGGCGCTACAAGCAAAACCGTAACTTGCTATGGCTCAAGGACATCAGGTTAAAAAGAAGAAACACATAACCTGTGGTCAGACACAGTGGCTTACACCTGTAATCCCAGCATTTTGGGAGGCCGAGACAGGAGGATCACTTGAGGCCAGTAGTTCAGGACCAGCCTGGCCAACACAGGGAGACCCCCATTGCTACAAAAAATTTAAAAATTAGCAGGCGTGATGGTGCATACCTGTAGTCTCAGCTACTCATGAGGCTGAGGCAGAAGGATAACCTGAGCCTGGAAGTTCAAGGTTACAGTAAGCTATGATTGCACCACTGCACCCCACCCTGGCAACAGAGTGAGACCTTAGCTCTAAAACAAAACAAAAACCCCTAACTTGTAAACTGCACTGGCTTCCTGAATTGACACACCATACCAAACCATGACATGCAAGAAGAGGCTGGGAAGTTCCAACTGTTTAATGCATTCAGACCAGTGTTTCAAGATAAGATCACAGATAAAGCATCTAACAGTAACTCTGCATGGCTCAAGTTGTTCCACAGATCAGACCAGAGATGTCTGGCAACTCCCCAGTTGACAAATTCTGACCAGCGCCTGCCAAAGTCTCACGCCATGCTCTCACTCCGGCCCCTAAACCTGATCCTGGCCGTCCCCATCCCTCCCTACTTAGTAGATGCCCCTTGCTTCTCCACAAAGTGTGCACTCCCCTTTGTGGCAGCAACTTTAATGACAGGTGTATTCCTGGAGGGAAAATGCACACTGCTGTCTCTTTTAAGGGGTCCTTCCACAGCTTCCTAAGCCCATAGGAATGTCCCTCCCACTTCCCGCCCAGGACCCCAGCCCTCAGCCCTGGCTTCCCATCATCACCTGCTTAATCTTGCGTAGCTGTTGCATTGGCAGGTTCAGCAGTTTGTCAGCTGCAATCTCCATGAAGAAGGGGTTGAGAATCCGAATCTGTTTAGGGTTGACATCCCAGATGAGGGGAGGCTGTTTCCAGAAACCCTTTCGCACCTAGGACGATGGGGTGAGAAGGGAGAGACAGGGGCGGGTGAAGCCCTATTTCTCAAATCCAACCCAGTGGTCCTCAGCCAGGCAAGGGGTCCAAGTGATGGCAGAGGTCTTCAGGAGCACAAGGTGAGAGGAAAGGGAGGTGGAGTCTGTGCCAGAGATGGGAGACCAGGAGAGGACCAGGAAAAGAGAGGAGGAAAGGCACCCCCTCGGGAGGCCAGGTAACCAGGTCTACAGAGCAGAGGGCCTAGACTCTGGAGCACTTCCACGAACATCTAAACAGGTAGAAGGGCCTAAAGTTTTAGGCTGTCTTTTAGAAGGAGGTCAATAGACCTCTTTCTGGGGATCATGTGTTAGGACACAGACTACCCTGCTCTAACCTGCCCCCCGCCTGGAGATGGCTGCTGGAGGGTTCCTCGGCTCTCAAGTTCCTCACAGGCAAACACCTCCTCGGGCAGCTTTCCTGTTGCAGATGGCCCTGGAGTGTGGGTGCCTTTGGCTGCTGCCACCTGATGCCTGCAGGCTTTTGTGCCCAGTTGCTGGGGCAGCTTATGGGAACACTGCCCTTGGAGGGCAGCCTAAGGCGCTGGCTGCCGGGAGCCCAGTTCATGCTGTCCCCACACTGGCTCTTTAGAACTGCCAGATAGACATCAAAGAGCATGAGGTCCTGACTTGGGCAGCGTCCCCACCCCTGAGCCTCAGTCCCCACCCCGTCCTCCCACTTACCCGCTTCTTATCACTGAGGATGGTCTCAATCCAGTGGAAGTCCATTGCTTTGAAAGCTACCAGGACGAGGAGTGTGTCCGGGTTGTTTTGTGCTTTGGGGTCGAAGTGGGCAGATTCAGGGTAGAAGAGACGCATGGTGGTCTTGGAGCCCACGTCACCCTCATAGCCAGCCACTGGGGCATTGTTCAATCTGGGGGTTGGGGAAGGATTCATCACTAGAGGCCCCTGGGCCTGTCTACAGTCCCTGGCTTGGACATCCAGTTCCCAAACAGAAGTAGGAAGAGACAGTCACACATACCTGATGACCACATCGTACTTGTTGATGGCATCTCCCAGCGAGCTGTTCCGCAGCCGGTGCCCGTTCCCCACGACCACGCAGCGGCGGCACCTGAGGCTGCCATAGGGAGAGGAGTGTCAAGCCCAGAAGTCACCCTGCTCCACCCCATGCTCGCTGCTCTGGATCTGCCTGGGCCCATCTCAGGACCACTTCCTAGGGCCCCTCAGCCCCTAGTCCCCATGGAGCAGGCATAACCCCATGGTCCCGCTTACAGTCATGCTGACTCTATAGCCCTGGGCTTTAAAAGAGGAGGAGACTGCGCAGAGCACAGGAGAGGGCAGAGTAGTGGAGGGAAGGCACGGGGGTGTATCAGTGAGAAACTCCAGCTTCACTGTTGCAATACCCTCAAGCAGCCTCTGTCCGCTCTGCACCCAGATGCCCAGGCTAGGCTACCATGGGAATTGGCTGGGATGGTACCAGGCCATGACTGTTTCACACGGGGGCACGAAAGAGGGGAAGGTGCCCAGGCTGGAGTTGGGGGAGTGCCGCCTTACCTCTGGATGCTCTCAGGGATGGAGTAGCTGGTGATGGCTAGCACCCGGAGGAGCAGGTCCTCTACAAAAAGAGCCGGGTGGAGGGACTGAGGCGACAGCTAGCATTCTGAAGGCTGCCTGCCCTCCCTTCACTGCTCCTCAGAGCCCTGGCTGCCTTCTTCTTCCCCTGGCCCTGGTAGCCGAGCCGGGCTCAGAACTTGGGCACTGGGGCCATGGACAGCAGAGAATAGGAAGCCCCGTGGCCAGGGCGAGCCCATGGTTCCCACAGAGCCGGGTGGGAACTTACCACTCCCCTTGGTCCCATAGGGCAGCTCGTAGGCAGATGGTGTCTTGACCCAGAAATAATCCTTAAGCTGCAGGAAGATGGGCTGATCCCGGGAGTAGCTGCGAGAGGTGAAAGCAGGGTGGGGATGAGAACGGAATTAATCTTGATGCCAGAAGCAGGGTCAGGCCCATGACTAATATTACATGGCCTTCTCTTCTCTCCCTGGCTTCACCTAACCATGTCCACCAACACGGCTGCTCCTTCCATCTACTCCCCACGCTGTGACCCCCTCAATTCCAGCTCACTCCATGCCCTGCTCTACCCGCCTCATCCTTGAGTACTTACTTGCCAAAGAGCTTAGAGGCCTTCCTCTCTGCCTCACCCTGGAGGCACGGCTCCTTCTTCTCTGGGATGGGAAAATAAAAACTGGAGAGAAAAAGGACAGGAGGCAGGAGCCGTAGTCAGACCCAGGGGCCCATGGTCCAGGCAGCCTAAGCTTTCTCCCATGGCATGAAGGTCCCAAGGTGCCAGGGAGGACTCCTCTCAAGTTAAGCTCCACTTGGAACCCAAGTCCTTGAAGATCCAGATCTTCCTGCCCCTGCACTCCCTGGGTGAGGGCCCAGTGACTCATCCCATGCCCTACCCCCATCCACCCTCATGGAAATACTCCGTACCAGCAGCTGAAGGGATGAGGTCATGCACTGGCTCTTGGAACCTTCCTGCCCTACTAGGTCCCCCGCTCCATGATGCTCCATGCTCCATCCCTAAGCCCTGTCCCTCACAAGAACCAATGGAAGGACATGGAAGGTGAACTCACAGCTCGATGTACCTGTCTTCCCAGGAGATGCAATACCACATCATGACAGCCAGGACCACAGCCAACATGGCCAGGAGCTTCCAGCCTGCACGACATATGCACAGAGGAGCTAGAGGCAGAAATGGGCAGGTACAGCCCCAGTCCACCTTCTCACCTGTCCCCTTCTGAGCCCCTCCGACCCCTAACCCAGGAGCAGTCTCTAGCCCTCTCCTGGTCCTGCTGAGGGCTTGACCCTAATTGTGCCCACTGTCCTTGAAGACGAAGAGAGGGCCCCCTGACTGTCTGTCCCCCCACATTCCCCAGAGGTCCCAGGATGCTGCTGCAGACGGCTTCTGGAGGCCTGTCCCCCAGGGTGGAGGAGCCCTCGGATGACACTCACGGGACTTGCTGATCATGTTTCTCAGCAGGCAGCAGGGTTCCTGGGGAGAGCTGTCATCCCGGCTGCCTCGGGCCACCTAGGAGATAGGAGTCACAGGTGTCTGTCTGGTCGGCTTCACAAACTCTCCTGCCTAGACACCAGAGCAGGACACACCCACTGTCTGCCCCTCCCTTCCTCCAGAAAGCACGAAGCTGCTGCCTGGGGCAGTCATCCTGAAAGTGACCTTTCTCTCCCAGGATTCCTCCTAACTCCTCCAAGGGCAGCATCAGGGATCCAGGTGAGTCCTGCCATGGAAGGGAAAACCGAGGGTCCAGCCCTCACAGACTCGGTCCCAAGCCAGGCTGGCCTACTCCTGACTCTAGTGTGGTTCTTCTCACCGTCCCCTTCTGCATTTTGACCCACAAAGGGCCAGCTCCAAGAGGCAGATAGCTACCCAACCTGCTGCTGACACGAAAGTTAAGCCAACTAACTGCGAGGGCTTGAGTCCTATTTTACCCAACTGGGGTCACCTATTCTCTGCCATCCGAGGCATCCCTTGGTCTGGCCACTGCCTGCCTCTCCATCATCAATCTGCAGCCAAACAGGTCTGCTCAGGCCAGAGGCTGGGAGTGAGGGTGGGGCTAGGACATGGTCCTCATGAGGCCTCCTTGATCCCTTCTAGACCCTGACCAAATGCAAACGGTGCTCAAACCTCCCCACCCAGCCATGGGGTAAGTGCAGGGAGAGAAGGTGCTTGAATGGGGAGCACGGGGAGCTGGGAGTGTCAAGAGAGCTGGTCGAAGAGGAATCAGGAGATGCTTCCAACGAAGGCGGCAAGGTGATGACTGTGCATGGGAAGGGGTGAGCTGCTGTTCACCCCCGCACACAAGCAGAGGCGTCCTCACAGGCAACAGCTCAGCCAGGGCCACGCCACAGAATCCTCGTGGAAGAAATCTCCGTGGCTTCCACAGTCACACAAAGAGGCATCAGATGCCAAGTGCCAGTTTCTTCCATCCACGCCATGCTTCCTGATGGTCTGGAATGGAAGAGTCACTTGGACCACTTCCTAAAAACATTCCAGGGCCCTTCCCTGGAGACCGCCATGGTCAGCCTGAGTATGGCCTGGGACAGGCATTTTCAGAAATGGCCCAGGGGATTCTGACAGTCGATCAGGAAAGGGAGGTAGGCACTAGCGTTTGTGCACCAATGGAAACCTTCCATTTTTTCAGAGGGGCTGGGGACAGCTTCTGGATGAAGCCTGGTCCATTTTATAAACCATTAACCAGTGATCCTGAGCCCTGTCCCATGATGGAGTCAATGTCCTGCTCCCCAGCAGGCTCATTCCCAGGCTCCACTCTGAGCTCATAAGCACTGAAGAATCAGCCTTAAGTCAGAGGAGACAGACAGGCAGGGACCAGGGTCAGACTCCCTCAGTAGAGTCAGAAACACCATCCCCAGACCCCAGAGGGGATGAAGCCTGGCCCTGTCTGGGAAAGAAAAGTAACCAGGTTGTAATCAGCAGAAGTCCTCAGTTAAAGATGTTATCCTAGAAACTCCCCCAACAGCTCTTCTGAAAGGGGCAATGCTTTCCCTACCCTTCATCCCACAGCCGTCTCCGAGTTATTCCCTAGCACATGGCCCTCCTCGGCTTCATAGCTTTTCCCATCTGTAATCAGCTTAGTTACTTACTTGTTTGCTTTCTGTCTGTCTCCCCAACTGGGACCTAAGCTCTGCGAGGGTTGGAATTGGATCTGTCCCATTTGCAGGTCTAGTCCCACATCGAGCACACTGCCTGGCACACGGTAGAGTACATCAGAAAGTACTGAATGTACAGCATGCTGGTTACAGTGGACGATCATCCCTCCCTCTCTGACCTGCAGTTTCGTCACTGTCTGAGAAATCAGCCTATTCCCACTACTCAAAAAAGGTCAGATCAGCTCCATGGGCATTCCAGAGCCCTTCTTAGACAAGTGGATTCTTTGGCTTCCTTCCAGACCCTTAAAATCAGAATCTGCATTTGAACACGATACCCTGGCGATTCATATACATGTTCAAGTTTGAGAAGCACTGGTCAAGCCTGATGTTCTTGATTATGGCTGATGAGGAGACTCACCCGAAGTACTTAAAAAAAAAAAAATTTTTTTTTTTTTTAATGAGTATCTAGGTCTCACACACAGGAATTCTGGGCTGATTCATCTAGCCCAGCACTGGAATTCGCTGAAGTCCCCTGGGTGATTATAATGCACAGCCAAGGTTGAAAACCACTGGTCTAGATGATCCGTGGGTGATGTGAAGCACACTTCTCAAACCTTGATGTGCACATTGTGACTCAGAGGGTGCCAGAGTGCGGGTGGGGATCTGCATTCTAACCAGCTGCGTGGTGAGCATGGGGCCTGCCGCGTGGCTGGGACTACTCTTGAGTTGCAGAGCTCAGAACCAGGACGCCTCCAGCTCTAACACTTCAGGATCTTAGGAACTGCAGCCTCTCTCGCCCTCCCTGCGTCCTCTCTCCATCTCCCTTAAGTTTCATCCTCCTTTCTATTCATAGGTCACAGCGTGGGCTGCACAATGAAGTGACCTGAGGAGCTTAAAAACATTCAGCCAGTCTAGGCCCCACTCTCCAAGATGTTTATTTAATCGGTTAGGGCTGGGGCGCAGGCATGAATAGTGAATAGCAAAACAAACCAACAACCCACCTCCTCTGTGATTCTAAAATGCAGGCTGGGTGGGAAACACGACACTACACAGAGCTCATTTCACCTCAGGTGAAAGACAAATACTCAGGCACCCTCCAGGCCTGTCCTCCAGGAAAAAGACCTTTGGCTCCGCGGTGAGCAGCACTAACCAGTCCTGAACAGCAAGACAATTAGCCCTTCTTTTACCTCTTCCCCAATAAAGTTCTACATTGTCTTGTCTTCGTTCCAAAACTGCACTAAGCAGACGGGCGAGTCTTAGGGCTTGCTCTGCTATACCCAGTCAGGGATTTAACCCCCTCCCCTGTGGGCCCAAGCGAGAGGATTGCTCAGTGGCCCCAGGCATGCCAGGGCTCCCAGGGCGGGCTGCTGCCTCAAGACAACCTGGCGTCTTCTCCCAGCAGCTACCCTACATCGCTGGTCTAGCTCTGGGCATAAAGGGCAGGAGAAAAGCCGCAGTAGAGTACCACGGTGGGAAAGCAGGCTAGAATCCACTCATGTCCGAGGGGACCAGCCTCTCACCAGGAGGGCAGCTCGCTCAACCTGCTCGGCAAAGGTGCCCCCCGGGGAGGAGGACATCTGCTCTCCTGGTGCTCTGCTAGGAACCAAGGTGTCCCTGGCCTAAGGGAGCTGGTCAGTTCTACCACAGAACTTGCCCCAGGGCAGAACTGGAGGTCAAGGTGAAGAAATAAGACCCAGCGGAGGCAGAAATCATGCCTCCTGCTGCCTCAGCATTCCCAGCCTAACACACATTGAGTACTCAGCAGGTACCCGCCAAACCAAGAAGGGCACAGCCAGATATGCCCCCAGGGGCACAGTATGGTACCCAGCCCCTCAGAGCCCCTGGACCCATAAAAATGATATGGCTTAATGTTCAGGGAAAGGATAGGGGAAAACCACAGGGGCAGAAGCTTGGGGTTTACTTGCTGGTTCTGTGATCTTAAACGATCACTTACTCTCACTGTCCTCAGTTCCTTTTTTTTTCCAGACAGAGTCTTGCTCTGTCACCCACGCTGGAGTGCAGTGGTGCCAGCAGCTCACGGCAACCTCTGCCTCCTGGGTTCAAGCAATTCTTATGCCTCAGCCTTCTGAGTACCTGGGATTAAAGGCATGCGCCACAACACCCAGCTAAGTTTTGTATTTTTAGTAGAGATGGGGTTTCTCCATGTTGACCAGGCTAGTCTCAAGCTCTTGGCTTCAAGCCATCCACTCACCTTGGCATCCTCAAGTGCTGGAATTATGGGTATGGGCCACCACACCTGGCCATCACTGTCCTCAGTTACATAGGGAAAACCTGAAGCCCCGTCTGCCTGCTGTTTGCTACCTTAGACTCTCCTACCTCCCCTCTTCCCCCAAATCCTTCACCAAGACACCAAAACCTCCTCACCTCCCCAGAATAGTTCGCAATCAATGTCCCCTCTTTGCCCTCTGTCTCCCACCTCTTCCTTCTCTATTCGCTGACTTATAAACATACTCAAGTCTCCCTCTTCCTAAAGAAACAACAAGCCTCTCTCTGTTCTGTCTCCTCCTCAAGCTCTCCCTGCATCTCCCTCATTCGCCTCCGGTGATCAAACTTCTTCACCTGTACTACACCCTCACTTCCCACTCTACCCCCCGCCACTATGCCACTCCCTCCACCCTTGTTTTTATTCTGAAATTGCTGTTGCTGAGGCCAGCGATTGTCTAACTGCGAATCCTAAGAAAGGTCTATTGTCAGTCTTTACTGTGCTCGGAGGCCTTTGATGCTGCTGGCCCTGCCTCCTCCTTGGCTTCTAGGTCAAGGTCAAGAAGGACCTGGATACAATGTAGGCACATTCGTTGCTGCTTTATAACCCTACGGGTTCCTCCTGCCTCTGAGACAGGAGGCTCTGCTGCTGGGGCCTACCCTTTTTTTTTGAGAGACAGTCCCCCTCTGTCACCCAGGCTAGAGTGCAGTGGCACCATCCCACTGCAACCTCTGCCTTGCAGGTTCAAGCGATTCTTGTGCCTCCCAAGTAGCTGACATACAGGTACCCACCGCCCTGCCTGGCTAATTTTTGTATTTTTAGTAGAGATTTTAGTAGAGGGTTTCACCATGTTGGCCAAGCTAGTCTTGAACTCCTGACCTCAAGTGATCTGCCCACCTCAGCATCCCAAAGTGCTGGGATTACAGGCGTAAGACACCGAGGGCCCGCCCTTTAAATTCTGGTATTTCCCGGGAAGCTGTCCTTGAACCTCTGCCTCTCCCTGCCACACATTTTCACCAGACAAGTTGACTCGTTTTCAGAGGTTTAACTACTATTCATATACCGATGATTCAAGCTCTTTATTTTCAGTGCTAATTTCTCTTCCATATCCCATCCTAATATTTCCAATTTTCTAGCTGGATGATCTTAAATTCCTCAAGTGGAAGAAGATGTTCAAA